TCCCTCCCTCCCTCCCGAAAGGTCTCTAACCCGCCTGAAGCCAAACCTCCACGGAGACACGCACACACCGTTCACACGTGCATCAGGCGCGCGTGCGCACACACTTTTCTCGGATACAAGGCCAACCCCGCCCCGGGCCCGGCTGCCGCTCCGGACGCCATCGCCGCCGCCCGGGCCTCCTTCACGTGGGCACGGCAGAGGCAGGACACGTGAACGAAGGGGGCGTGGGGAAAGCGCGGCCCGCCTCTTTGCTGCGAGGGGGAGAGGGGAGAGGAGGCGCTTCGGGCGGCCCTGGCCTTCGCTTGTTGCCATCCTGCCGTTTGGCTTCTCGCCCACGAGAAATAGAAGGGAGCTTCCCCCGGCGACGGGAGACATCTGCAAGTGCCGGAGCAGGGCTCTGCAAGGCGCCTTTGTGCGGGTCCCACGCTTGGCGACGGCCGCGTTACACAGAGTTGCCAACCTCCGGGTGGAGGCTGGAGACCTCCCGCCATTGAAGAAGAGGAGGAGATTGGATTTACACCCCGCCCTTCACTCGGAGTCTCAGAGCGGCTTACCGACTCCCAACCCCTTTCCCTTCCCCTCCCCACAACAGACACCCTGCGAGGTGGGTGGGGCTGAGAGAACTCTGACAGAAACTGCCCGTGAGAGAACAGCTCTTGTTAGAACTGTGGCTTGCCCAAGGTCACCCAGCAGCTGCAAGAGGAGGAGTGGGGAATCAAACCCGGTTCTCCCAGATTAGAGTCCGACCACTTCACGCAACCCATCTCCAGGCGACAGAGATCAGTTCCCCTGGAGAAAATGGACGCTTCAGAAGGTGGTCTCTATGGCATGACACCCCATTGAAGCCCCCTCCCCCCAAACCCCACCCTCCCCAGGTTCCCAAGCGCCAAATCTCCCCCTCCCCCTTTTGCAGGGCATTTCTGTGCTTCCTGACTGTGATAAGGACTCTCCAGGAAGATGGATTCAGGTGGGCAGCAGCCCTGTTGGTCTGAAGCAGCTGAACAAAGTTTTGAGCCCGGGGGCACCTTGAAGACGAACCGAGTTTGATTCTGGGTATGTGCGCAGGCACACTTCTAAGTATCTGAAGAAGTGTACTTTGCACAGGAAAGCTCATACACGGAATCGGGTCATTTCGTAGAAAAAGAGGGGCAGGAGCTCATTAGCATAACTTATTTGCATATGCCACGCCCCCTGACATCACCGGAAGTGTGTCAGAAAGCAACACCCACCGCTCAGGCTCCACTGGACTGTTTTGGATTCCTAGCTATTCGGGGAGGGGGACACACACGCAGATCTGCTCTCACAGAGGAAGCGGAGCTGAAGGGGGGGAGGCTCTGCAACTGACCTGGCTGCTTCTTGCTCTGACTGAGGGCTTCTGGGAGCAGGGGGCGGGGCTTGTTGCATGTGCCCGCCCCCTGGGCTCCTTACTGCCGGAGTTCCGCTCCTGTGCTCTCCTACAGGAAATGACCTCTGCACAGAATTAAATTCGGTTGGTCTTCAAGGTGCCATTGGACCCAGACTTCGTTCTTGTGATATGGCCCGTTTCACACTGGCAGCTGCAGCCAGGGTTGCCAATGTCCAGGTGGAGGCTGGAGATTCCCCGCTGTTCCAACTCATCTCCAGGCAACAGAGATGTTCACCTGGAGAAAAATGCACGCTTCAGAAGGCGGACTGTATGGCATTACACCCCACTGAAGTCCCCCCCAAACTCCACCCCTCTCAGGCTCCCCCAAATCTCCAGGTATCTCCCAACTCGGAAATCTGGAATTAGAACTGACCTCTGGGCGACAGAGATCAGTTCCCCTGGAGGAAATGGCTGCTTTGGAGGGTGGACCCCATTAAAGCCCCTCCCCTTACCAAACCCTGCCCTCCTCAAGCTCCACCCCCAAAACCTCCAGGTTTTCCCCAACCTGGAGCTGGAAACTTAGCAGCAGCATCCAGCCTCCTGGTTTGCGGTGCGGCCAAATTGCAGTCACGGGAAGAATTCCTGCTTCCCTCAAGAACCATCGCCTGGTTCACAGAAGGTTGTGCAGGTGTGAATGAGCCCCCACCACAGGAACAAAGTTGACCTCACGGGTAGAACTTGGATGCCACCTCGACTCTGGTGGGTTTCGGGGCAGCCTGTTCACGAATGCATCTTCCAGTGGCTGTTGGAGCTGATTGACACGTGTCTTTCCTAACGCTTGGATGAGGAAAGGCTGAACGTGCGGAACAGATGGCTGTCTATGGCATTAGAGCCAATGTTCCCTCTAAGCTGAGTTAGTGTGAGCTGGCTCACAGTTCTTTAGCCTCCGGCTCATACCTTTTTCTCTTTGCTTGGGAAGGATGGCTCCAGAGCAACCTAATTTATGTGGCAGCCAAATCGCTCGCTCACAAGAGATGTGAAGGCCCGGAAAAATTCGGAAAAAAGCCATTTTTTTTCTGTTTTTTTCCCTGAAGATTTTTTGTTTTTTTCCGAAAAATTGGAAAAATTGAAAAAAGAAAAGAAAAGAAAAAATGATTATGGAACGTTTTATTTTAACATGATGAATAAAATATTTTAAGACAAGGTGTTCAAATATTTTCCAAAACCAAACAAAGGTTAGTGGAAAGGAGGGCCAATATTAAAACCTTTTCATAAAAAGAGGTACATGTATTTATTAATAATAACAAATTAAAACATATATAGGGGCCCAATTACAACCAATATATATAACCAGGGCTAAAAAAGTTTTATATATATTGGTTGTAATTGGGCCCCTATATATGTTTTATATACCTCTTTTTATGAAAAAGTTTTAATATTGGCCCTCCTTTCCACTAACCTTTGTTTGGTTTTGGAGTTCTTTGTTAGGTTTAGTTTTTTTCCCTTTCTTGTTCCTGCTTCCAAATATTTTCCAAATCATTTCTAAAATATATATATATGGTATCAGATTGATCTAATTTCTGTGCACTGAGGACAAGCCAGTCCTAGGTTACAAACTGAACTCTCCAATGCAAGATGCATTTCTTCCTTTAGGAGGTGCTATTGTCAGAAGAAAATAAAAAGGTTTCAGTTTTGTTTTTGCATGTGGGTGGGTATTCTGTTTGTAATAATTGTTTGGATACACTATATTTTTAATATGCTAGTTGTGATAATTTCATGCCAAATAAAAATGTCCATAGTCATATTTTATGTTCCAGCAGGTGGGAAGCAGACCTCAATCGCTCCCTGGTTGAGTCGGACTGGGATGTCATATGGGCCTCCCCAGCAAACAGGTCTCCGGTATATAATGTCCGTCTTCAGTTTTTCAAAGTAACCTCCCGTTGGTATCTTACACCGCAACAGTTACGCAAAATTAACCCGGCAACAAGCAGTAATTGTTGGAAGCTATGTGGTCAGGTAGGGACGTATTATCATTGCTGGTGGGGTTGTCAAAAAATAAAGAGCTTTTGGGATAAGGTGATAACCCAGATAAATGAGATCACTGGGCAGTCGTTAACAAGGGCACCAGAAGTGGTGCTGTTAAATTTGTGGGATAGAGCGAGGATAGGGGACAGTAAAGAGCTCATATCAATGCTATTGGCAGCGGCAAGGTTGACAATTGCAGCAGCCTGGAAATCACCAGCCCCGCCGACAATCTCAGCGTGGCAGGAGAAAATATGGGAGCAATTTGTTATGGCAAAAATAGCAGACTCCTTGCAGAGAGCAAATAATAGTAATACCCCTACTTATACTAAATTTGTCAGGACCTGGGCCCCGGTGCTAGAGTACATGGTGAAGAATGATATTCTCCCAGCTAAACAAATTTACCGTAAATGGCTGTATCTATAGAAGTAATGGGATAGACTTATGGTATAGCAATAGAGATGTATGATGCAAGGTTGGACATGAAACTATCAGCGTCCTAATGCGATATGTAGAAACTTGGAATTTGTAAGTACGTGTCGTATGTAACGCTTATTTTCCTTTTCTGAATAAAAACAATAAAAAATTTAAAAGAAAAAGAAAAAAAAAGAACCGTTTGACCCTCCCTGGTCCTAAGGAAGCCAGGCTCGCTATTACCAGGGCCAGGGCCTTCTCAGTGACGGCTCCACACTGGTGGAATGAGCTCCCGGAAGAGATCAGGGCCCTGCGAGGCCTTTCACGGATCCGCAGGTTCTGCCAGACGGAGCTCTTCCACCAGGCCTTCGACTTGGAGCCGCCCCCACTATCACCACCAACTCTCAGCTTTGATGGCTGGCTTGTGCAAAGAACATCGAGAAACTTGAAAACTTACAAGTACGCCGCCTGTATAATCAGCGAAACGTCGGCAGCACATATGACTATTACTGATACTGAATTCCTCTATGGGGATTTTATTGGCTTTTAATTGCTGTTTATATATTTGTAAAATGTTTTAATGCATGTAAGCCACCCTGAGCCTGCAAATGCAGGGAGGGCGGGGTATAAGTTGAATAATTAAATAAATAAATGCCAGTCACTCACAAGGTAGAATTTTTGCTCACAAGACTCCACAGCTTAGAGGGAGCCTTGCATCAGACCTGTGTCAGCACATTCACACATGAGAGTCCTCACTGACTGTTGCAGGCAGCAACGAATTATCAGGCAAGAACCCGCTTCCGGCGGACGGAGTAATGAACACGTGGCAGTCACTGCCACAGGAAGCCGAGACAGCTTCAAGAAGGGTTTTGGAGAAACATACAGGGCAGAGGTCCATCCGTGGCTCTTAGCCACAAGGTATCAAGAGAATACTCTGTCTGGGGCAGTGATGCTCTGTCTTCTTGGTGCTCGGGGGGCAAGAGTGGGAGGGCTCTTGGAGTTCTGGCCCCGCTGGTGGACCTCCTGATGGCCCCTGGGTTTTGGCCACCTAGTGACGCAGAGTCTTGGAGTGGATGGGCCATCAACCTGATCCAACATGGCTCTCTTACACTCTTACCAGTGAACCAACCTATAGCAAGAGAAATAACTCAGTTGTCCCGCCCCCTTGAGAACACTCGACTGTTGCTTTCCTCTGGGAACCCAGTCTGCAGGGGTTTCCAAACCCAGTGCTGGCAACCAGTGTTCCCTCTAAGTTGAGTGAGTGTGAGCTAGCTCACAGTGTTTTAGCCTCCGGCTCTCACATTTTGTCTTATCTCAGGAAGGAGGGCTCCAGAGCCAACTCATTTTATGCAGCAGCCAAATCACTTGCTCACAACTTGAATGCCGGCAGGTCACCAAGTAGGATTTTTGCTTACAAATCTCCACAGCTTAGAGGGATCATTGGCAACCCAACACACAGAGCAAGGGTCTCTGGGGGAGTGGGGGGGGGAGAGCTGCAGATTTTCTACACTGTGCCAGGGGTCGGACTAGATGACCCTTTTGGCTCCCTTCCAGCGCTCTGTTTTCTTTGCCTCTGTGCAGACCAGGGAATTGCTGCATTCGTACTTTCCCCAACGCTGCATTTGACAGTTTTCCCCTTCAAAGGCAAGCGCGCTGCCACCTGCGTGGAGACCTTGGGCTAGGACAGGATTTAAATAGAAACTTCACCGTTGGCCCAGAAAGGTGTGACCTGCGTCTTTTCCCCGGAAGGTACCTTCCTTCCGACACCATCTGTCATCCTCCCCGCAGAGACCCAGCCATCGTTGACTCCAGGCCTTGCCATTGTCAAGGAACGCTTTCCGGCACATTAGGAAGCGAGCCAACACTCCTCTCGAAGGCCCGGCTGCTTCCTGTGCCGGTGCCTGCTGGATGGCGGCCAGGTGTCCAACAGTTGCAGCCGGTGTTCCCTCTAAGCTGAGTTAGTGTGAGCCAGCTCACAGTTTTTTAGCCTCCGGCCCACACATTTTTCGTCTTCGCTCAGGAAGGGATGGCTCCAGAGCAAACGAATTGATGCAGCAGCCCAATGGCTCGCTCACAACTTCAATGCCAGCAGCTCACAAAGTAGAGTATTTGTTCACAGGACTCCACAGCTTAGAGGGAGCGTTGGTTGCGGCTACTCTGACCGAGAGCTGTAGCCCTAGAGGAAGGCGGATAGGCCCTGATGGGACAGAGGAGACACCGGCAACCTGAGCTGCTAAGTTCAGGACGTTGACTGAGCGTGTCAGGATTAATCATAGACTCATAGAGTTGGAAGGGCTCTCCGGGTCATCTAGTCCAACCTCCTGCACAATGCAGGAAATTTACAAAGACCTCCCTGCGGTGGCTCAAGTGGTTAAGACGCTGAACTGCAGGCTGTGGAAGGTCAGTAGTTCAGCAGTTCGAGACCCGGGTGCCGTATGACGGAGTGAGCTCCCGTCTCTAGTTCCAGCTCCTGCCAACCTAGCAGTTCGAAAGCAAGAAATTGCAAGTAGATAAATAGGTACCACTTCGGTGGGAAGGTAACAGCGTTCCGTGCGCCTTGGTGTTTAGTCATGCCGGCCACATGACCACGGAAATGTCTTCGGACAGCGCTGGCTCTTCGGCTTTGAAACGGAGATGAGCACTGCGACCCTAGAGTCGGATTCGACTGGCTTTCGAGCAAGGGAACCTTTACCTTTACCTTTTACCCCACCCATACACACCGAGTCACCCCTGCTCCATGCCCAGAAGATGGCAAAAGAAGAGAAGAGATTGGATTTATACCCAAAGGAGTCTCAGAGCAGCTCACAGACTCCTTTCCCTCCCCCTCCCCACAACAGACACCCTGTGAGCAATGTTCCCTCTAAGCTGTGAAGTCTTGTGAGCAAAAATTCTACTTTGTGAGCTACTGGCATTAAAGTTGTGAGTGAGCAATTTGGCTGCTGCATAAATTAGTTTGCCCTGGAGCCATCCTTCCTGAGCTGAGACAAAAACGTGTGAGCTGGAGGCTAAAAAGCTGTGATCTAGCTCACACTAACTCAGCTTAGAGGGAACACTGCCTGTGAGGTCGGTGGGGCTGACAGAGCTCTTGACAGAACTGTCCTTGAGAGCTCTTATCAGAACTACGGCTTGCCCAAGGTCATCCAGCCAGGTGCAAGTGGAGGAGTGGGGAGTCAAACCCAGCTCTCCCAGATTAACCACTACACCAAAAAAACCTCCGGGATCCCCGGCCAAACTGGCCTGGAGAAAAATGGCTTCCTGACCCCAAAGTGGCAATCGGCATTTCCCTCGGCGTGTTAAGAAAGGGCCATGAGAACAAAGCCCTGAGGCAACCCTTCCTGCCCTCCCTCTCGTGACCTGCCTCAGTTCACAGAACTAGCATTGCTGTCCGACGGCCACCTAGCCTCTGCTTGAAAACCTCCCAAGAAGGAGAGCCCGCCACCTCCCGAAGAAGCCCGTCCCACTGAGGAACTCCTCTAACTGTCAGGAAGTTCTTCCTCATGTTTAACCTGTCGGTTCTGGTCCGAACTTCTGGGGCAGCAGAAAACAACTCCGCACCATCCTCTAGATGACAGCCCTTTGAGTATGTGAAGATGGTATTGAAGATGAGGCCGCTTGCTTCCCAAAGCAGCCCTTCGCGTAAGCCCAGCAAACAGCTACTCCCAGAGATTTAACTAACCTGGCTCATCCAGGTCAGGGAAGAGACAGAGGTGGGTTCGCCATTGCCTGCCTCTGTGTAGCGACCCTGGACTTCCTTGGTGGTCTCCTACCCAAGTCCTAACCAGAGCCAACCCTGCTTAGCTTCTGAGATCAGGCTGACCTGGGATATCCAGGTCAAGGTTTATTAATCTGACAGGTGTCCCCTCTAAGCTGTGGAGTCTTGTGAGCAAAAATTCTGCTTTGTGAGCTACCGGCATTAAAGTTGTGAGCAAGAAATTTGGCTGCTGCATGAATTAGTCTGCTCTGGAGCCATCCCTTCCTGAGCTAAGACAAAAATCTGTGAGCTGGAGGCTAAAAAACTGTGAGCTAGCGCACACTAACTCAGCTTAGAGGGAGCACTGGATATTAATATACCAGAGGACTGATGTACTTCAGAACCCACAGCCTTGAGAGTCGCACACTTTTGACCAATGCTCCCTCTAAGCTGTGGAGTCTCGTGAGCAAAAATCCTACTTTGTGAGCTACCGGCATTAAAGTTGGGAGCAAGCAATTTGGCTGCTGCATACATTAGTTTGCTCTGGAGCCATCCCTTCCTGAGCAAAGATGAAAATGTGTGAGCCGGAGGCTAAAAGACCGTGAGCTAGTAAAGGTAAAGGTTCCTTGCTCGAAAGCCAGTCGAATCCGACTCTAGGGTTGCGGTGCTCAAAGCCGAAGAGCCAGCGCTGTCTGAAGACGTTTCCGTGGTCATGTGGCCAGCATGACTAAACACCAAGGTGCACGGAACGCTGTTACCTTCCCACCAAAGCGGTACCTATTTATCTACTTGCAATTTCTTGCTTTCGAACTGCTAGGTTGGCAGGAGCTGGAACTAGAGACGGGAGCTCACTCCATCATGCGGCACACTCGGGTCTCAAACTCCTGAACTACCGATCTGCTACCTCCTCCCCTCGCCTGACTTGGACAGCTCTGAAGCACCGCGCACCAGTTTGATGCAACATCGGAATGCAGGAGCCCGGGCAAGCGGTAGTTTTCGTCCTCTCACCAAACTGGAATTAAACTGAGTTTTGCGGGGGGAGGAAAAGATGTCTGCCTTGCCCAGGAGGCGGTATTCAGCTGTCGCTCCAGACTGAAACCGAATCCCCAAATTAGGAAGCATTCAGACATTTGGGAAGTATTTGTGAATTTCCTGCACTGTGCAGGGGGTTGGACTAGATGACCCTGGAGGACCTTTCCAACTCTACGATTCTATCATTTGATTCTACCCATGGCAGGAGGGTGGGGCGCACGAGGAAACGTTTGCACGGGTCAGGGACGTAGGCTGAGTTCCCTCTAAGCTGTGGAGTCTGGTGAGCAGAAATTCTACTTTGTGAGCTACTGGCATTAAAGCTGTGAGCGAGCGATTTGGCTACTGGCTATATTAGTTTGCTCTGGAGCCATCCTTCCTGAGCTAAGAAAAAAAAGGAGTGAGCTGGAGGCTAAAAAACGGTGAGCTAGCTCACACTGACTCAGCTTAGAGGGAACACTGGACGTAGGCCTGACAAGTTTGCGGATCCCGGATAACTGGATTCGGCACACAGCAGGCATTTCTGTTTGGGGATATCACTGCCGAAAGGTTTGTGGGAATACAGAAGAGACCTCATTCTTTTGGTCTCTTTCCGATCCAGGAACCCTGAATCCTTGGGGCTGAGATCTGAAAAATTCCTGGAAATATTATATAACCCAATCTTAGGCACTGCCTGCTAGAAGACTACATTTCTCGGTGGAGAGTACATACACAAGGACTGGTCATCCACAATGTCACCAAAAGCGATGGAATCTGTATATCGTGGCAAAAATTACAGACCATCTGACACGTCTTTATATGCACTCTACCTTCTCTACGATTTGAAGAAGAGATTGGATTTATACCCCGCCCTTCACTACCCGAAGGTGTCTCAGAGTGGCTCGTAAACTCCTTTCCCTTCCCCACGACAGACACCCTGTGAGGCAGGCGGGGCTGAGAGAGCTCTTGACAGAAACTGCTCTTTTTCAAGTACAGCTCTGACAGAACTACGGCTTGCCCAGCGTCATCCAGCAGCTGCGAGTGGAGTGGGGAATCGAACCCGGTTCTCCCAGATTAGAGTCCGCGCACTTAACCACTACACCAAACTGGTTACCCATACTTGAATATCTCAGCATGAAATTCCCCAAATGGTTGCTGACCTAGGCTTATAATATATCTTTGGGGATGATGATAATGTTCTCGGTTGTTATATTCTGCTTGTCAAAGCTTATAATTATTGTTTGATCGTTTAATGGAAAATTTATCCTTTTACATCTCGGTTGTAGCTTACAAAATGTATCTCATTGTCTGATCTTATTGTGATATGTTTGTATTGTTACTGTTATTCATGAAACTTCAATAAATTGTTAATTAAAAAAAAAAAGAACTGATCATCTTTGGAGATTCAGTGTTTGGGGTGACCGGAAGAAGGGGGATCTTCCCGCCCGCCTGTTTTGCACGCTTCCTCTGTGTACGAGAAACAGCCCTGACCAGAGGTCATTTCAGGGGGGATCGCGGGGGATCGCAGTTCCCCCCGGGTGAGGTACGGGGGCGGGGCACATGACAAAGCCCCGCCCCCTGCTTCCGGCCGCCCCGCTTCCGGCCCTCATTCAGCCAGGAGGAGGCAGGAGAAGAGGGAGGGTAAGTTGCTTCCTCCCTGCCTCTCCCCACCCCTGCCTGCCTGGGGCCAGGAAGGGCCTTCGCGGGGCTTCCTCGCACTCCCGCCGGCCTTGCAGGTCCACAGCGGCCCCTGGCCCTGATGCTTTCAAAGCAAAACGAATCGCTGACGTTCCGCTCCCTCCTGGAAGGTACTAGACAGTCACTCTCTAACTTAACTTGCAAAAGTGGCTTCTTTCACTGCTCCTGCCCTGAAAATTCGAAGCTCAAGTGCACCGAATATTTTTCAGCGATTTAAGGATTCTCTGGTTCGCAGACTGCCATAGCTCTAGGTTGGCAGTCCCCCAACAAGGCGTCCATGGGCAGCATAGTTCCTGCCAACATTTTTGGGCTACAAAGATAGAAAGAGCACGGGACAGGTGGTCAAACTAACCTCGTATGAAGAAGGATGAAAATTAGAATTTATATAAACAGTAGTTTAAGGGCCGCGGTGGCTTTGAGGTTAAGATACTGAACTGCAGACCGGAAGCTCGGCAGTTCGAGACCCGAGTGCCGCGTGATGGAGTGAGCTCCCGTCTCTGGCCCCAAGCTCCTGCCAACCTAGCGGTTTGAAAGCAAGAGAAGTAGATAAATAGGCACTGCTTCGGTGGGAAGGAAACAGTGTTCTGTGCGCCTCGGCATTTAGTCATGCCGGCCACATGACCACGGAAACGTCTTCGGACAGCGCTGGCTCTTCGGCTTGGAAACGGAGATGAGCACCACCCCCTAGAGCTGGATTCGACTGGCTTTCAAGGAAGGGAAACCTTTACCTTTACTTTTTACTGCCTCTCTGCATATCACACCTAATCCAATCACACCTGCTATTGTCATTTGCCTGCTAATGTCATTCAACTAGCTCTCAAGCAAGGGAACACCTTTTATCAGTAGTTTATAAGGGACACTAAAAGATGGTTGAATTTTTGGTACGTAGAAATTGAGATATTAATTGCGTTACATACATTTAATTGTTGATATAAATTGTAATCATCGTCCTTGTTCACGGTGTGTATACTTAGTTTGACAACTTGGGGGGGGGCAGTTGTCAAATCTTTTGAGGAAGTGGGCGGGGCCAGGTAGGCCTTTTGCCCAGCAAAGCTTCTGATTGGCCACTGGAGCTTTGATTGGCTGTATAGATTTTTTAAAAATGCTGCTTTGGCAGCAGCCGCCAACACAACATGAGGATCTGCCCTGTGTGACTGAAGGTAAGCTGTGACAATTGTTTTGCGGCTGGCCCCGCCTCTAGCAGCAGCCGTTTTGCGGCAGCCATTTTACTGCTACAGCCACCATGCCGCGTCCGAATTCCAAACGTACCCACAGACTCAAAAAAGTTGGGGACCCCTGCGCTGGGTGATGTTTCTGGTTAAGACGACTTCACGTTTGGGAAATGTTATCTGTAAACTGTAAGGGGGAAAAAATACGACTTAACGCAGCTTGAAACATTCAACGCTTGTCTCCTCTAAAGCTACCGATTGCTTTGGGGATCTGGAGTCGCTTTATTCCGTTCTTCAAGTTTACATCGCGGCAGCGGAGAGAGTGGTTCCCGAGGTTTTCCAAAAGGTGTATGAAAAATTCCTCGTGCAATTTCATTTTTCGTGCCTGACAATTCTGAGGAACGCTGTCACGGAAACGGCCTTCGGCTTAAACAATAAATACCAACCGAGGAAGGGCGACTGGACTTTGGTGAAGAAAGGGGGGGAAATCCACACAGAAACACAAGCCCCAGACTCTGAGGCGGCTGCGTCTCTCGGCACTGGGCGAGCAATTCCCCCACCCCAACCCTGTGCTTCACTGTGACCCCATTTCAGTTGAACACAATAGACTGGGCCGCCCAGACTCACCCATCGCCACCTTTAATGGATGGGGAGGGGTTACAAATGCCCTAGGCCCCCCCTCCCCTTTAATAGCAAGTCCAGAGGGATCGCTCCCATTCAGCCCTCCGCCTGGGCCCTGCCCGGGGGACTCCGTGTCCAAAGGGGCTGACGGGGGCTCAATCTCTGAGTCCGTTAAGCTAATCCAGAAAGCCCATTTCTACGGCCTCCGCCACCTCGGGGTGAAGCAGCCGGGTGGCCAAACGCTCGATGTCATCCAAGCTCAGCAGTCGCAGGCTCCGCTCGTAATCCTGGGAAAGAGAGGGGGGGGCGCTCATTGAAGTGCACTGAAAGCACATCATTCGATGTGTGCGGGAGCAGGGTAAAACCGCTAAAATAAGCATAGCTGCCAGCGAATAATCCTCACCGAATTTTGCGGGAGTTCCTTCCCGCCGGGCGTATTTCGGATCACGCGGCACGAGGGCCGGAAACGCAATTCGAGCAAGGCCCGAGGGGCCCCTCCCGCCTGCCCCTCCCGCCACTGTCCGAGAAATCACCTTCTGCAGCTGCTCCAGCACTTTCTCCGTGTCGGCCGTACTGTAATGCCTGCCCAAGACTTGAGCCAGCGTGTGCCAAATAGCCGGCGTCTGGGGGGGCCCCCCTCTGCGGACTGCTTCCTCGGGGGACGCCTTCTCCGGCGGCTTGATCACCAGGTTGAGCTTGGACTCCGGCCCAATCGAGTAATCGGAGAGACGGTGCTCGTCTGGGAAGGAGAAGCAAGGCAGCGTCAGTGGCCGGGAGCCCGCCACGGGGAAGCCGCATGTTCGGGGGGGGGGGGGCCACGCACGAAGGACGACAGAGCAGTGTCCTGGCAGCCGTTCTTGTCGGAACTTCTACAAAGCTACACCGTCCTTTCTGCAGCGGGTTCCCTAGCGATTCAAAATCATCCGCTGTTTGCAGGCAACAAAGAATGCTAAGGCTCGGCCCTGACCGGGATAGCCCAGGTAAGCTCGATCTCATCAGTTCTCGGAAGCTAAGCAGGGTTGGCTCTGGCAAGTATTTGGATGGGAGACCTCCAAGGAATACCAGAGGCAGGAGGCAGGGGCAGGCTTTATTCAGCCACCGCTCTGAATATCCTCCAGGCCCCCAATAGGGGTCAGGCCCCAGAGGTCACCATAACTTCCAGGTGCACGCACAGTCAGTCATCAGAGGTTGCTATGACTTCCACGTGCATACACACTCACACGCATGCATATGAAAAATACCAAAAAATACCAAAAGAAAAAAAAGAATGCTAAGGCTTTCTCAAAAGGAAAAGCATCTGGTTTCTTAGAATCCATTACAAAATAGATTTTTAAATTTCTTTTTAGATATTTATACCCTGCTTTTTCTCCCAAAGGGGGAGACTTGAAGCAGCTTATGACATCGTTCTCCTCTCCTCTGTTCTTTTTTGTTTCAGCTCATTAAAAGCCGCTAATGTTACACCACGCCGGATGGGTCCTTCTGGAACCAGACAGGTGTCAGCAAGAATACTGGCAGACCTCAGAATGTGACCGTCTCCTACGAGCTCAAGGGTCGGACACACACGTGGACGAGACCAAAAACGACATGCCCTCAGAACTCTCCACTGGGGTGTTTGGGAGATATTAGGGTAGTTGGAAGGAAACAATCAAGCTCCTTTTGTATGCAGAGAATCATACTAGGGTGGCATATGGAACAAAGGCGCCTGCTTGGGCAACTAGACAAAAGCTTTAATTTTTTTTTTAAATGGCTAGAACGCCTGCCAACTCTCTGTCAAGCAGAGATCCATGGGACCTCTTCTACCTTATTGCCCCCACATTTTTTTGCATGCCCCCCCCATCTGCAACTCTCTTTCTCTAGCCTTATTGTTTTGTGCCTTGTGTGACCTTTGGTAACCTGTTGGCTATAATCATATTAATTTGCCCATTCTTCCAATCAACTATAGCTATTTTTTTAAAAAAAATCTGTCTAGTTACTTGTGTGCTCCTGCCCTGGGAACTCACGGGGTCAGCCCACTGACCTCCTCGACACACACACACACCCCTCCACAATGCTGTACACACCCATGCGTCATGCATCCCAGACTACCGCCTCTGGAACACATCCGTCCACGTCCACGGCTAATCTTCTGAGCCTGCCAGAAGGTGGGCGTGACCCTGATGTTCTTTTATACCGGCTCAGCCCGCCGGCCTACCTGGCACAGTATTCTGTCCTCTGACAGGTGACATTTCTCGGACAGAGAGAAGGTCTTTCTTGAGACCTGCTAGAATCAAGTCCAGCAACACCTCAGAGACTGAGATTTTCAAGTATGGGCTTCCCAGATTCAAAGCCCACGAAGGCGTCTGACGAAGGAAGCTCTGACTCTCGGAAGCTCACGCCTTGAGAACCTGGTTGGCCTCTAAGGCGCTACTGAATTCGAATCTGGCTCTTCGACTGCAGATCGATATGGCTACACCTTCTGAAACTTTCTTCAAGATCTGAGCTCTTCGGGTGGAGGTGGCAGGGATTGGGCCTGTGGGCCAGCTAGGCACTCGTGTTTCCCTTTCAAAAGAAGGCACCCATAGACTTCTGAACAAACCCCACCTCACCCTGCTTATCTATACAAACCGGCTGCTGCCCGCCTGCTTCACGGTCACCCACCTGCCAGAGCTTTGCCTTTGAAAAGCAGGCGCTGCTGGGAAATGGGAACATTCAGTTTCTCGGAGACCAGGCGCTTGAGAGAGGAGATGCGCTCATCTGGGGACACCTGGGAAGAAGAGAGGTGGTGAGGTGGGGCCAGGCCCACACATAAGGACATAAGAGAAGCCATGTTGGATCAAGCCAGTGGCCCATCCAGTCCAACACTCTGTGTCACACAGCGGCCAAAACCCAGGGGCCATCAGGAGGTCCACTACCGGGGCCAGAACTCCAGAAGCCCCCCCACTCTTGCCCTCCCAGCACCTAGAAGACAGAGCATCCCTGCCCCAGACATAAGAACATAAGAGAAGCCATGTTGGATCAGGCCAGTGGCCCATCCAGTCCAACACTCTGTGTCATGCAGTGGCCAAAACCCAGGGGTCATCAGGAGGTCCACCAAGCAGGGCCAGAACTCCAGAAGCCCTCCCACTGTGGGGCCCCCAAGCACCTAGAAGACAGAGCATCACTGCCCCAGGCATAAGAACATAAGAGAAGCCATGCTGGATAAGGTCAGTGGCCCATCCAGTCCAACACTCTGTGTCACACAGCAGTCAAAACCCAGGGGCTAATCAGGAGGTCCACTAGCGGGGCCAGAACTCCAGAAGCCCTCCCACTGTTGCCCCCCCAAGCACCAGGAATACAGGGCATCACTGCCCCAGACATAAGAACATAAGAGAAGCCATGTTGGATCAGGCCAGTGGCCCATCCAGTCCAACACTCTGTGTCACACAGCGGCCAAAACCCAGGGGCCATCCGGAGGTCCACCAGCGGGGCCGGAACTCCAGAAGCCCTCCCACTATGGCCCCCCAGGCTCCTAGAAGACAGAGAATCCTGGCATAAGAGGGTAAGAGAACCTGGAACCTTCTGCATGCCAAGCAGAGGCTCTACCACTGAGCCACTTCATTGCCACAGATCTTCTGCATGCGAAGCGGATGCTCTGTCACTGAGCCACAGCCCCTTCCCACCCTCCACAGCCCTTAATGGGTACAGCCAGGTATTCCATTCAGATTCATCCATAGAAGGAAGGGGGTCACACCCAACCCGAGTTGTGCATTCTACCCTTTTCATGACTTTTGCAACTGCTCTGCATTGACACGGCACCTTCTGCATCCTCTCCCCCCTCCTCTTACCACCTATATATCTCTGGTCAGTTTCTTCCTACCCTCCATGCATCTGATGAAGAGATCTGTGTTTCTCAAAAGCTTACGCTACAATAAAGTTTGTTAGTCTTCAAGGTGCTACTGGGCTTTTTGCTACCTTGAATTAAAACTCTGTTGGTCTTAAGGGTTGTTGTAGTAAGCATAAAAGGGGGGGGGAGGTACCCCATCCTGTGCTGCTTAGAGGAAGGAAGGTATAAAAATGACACGCGAAGCAAGGAAGGACGGTCCTTTCTTCATCCACATCCCAGACGTGAGCAATGTTCCCTCTAAGCTGTGGAGTCTTGTGAGCAAAAATTCTGCTTTGTGAGCTACTGGCTTTAAAGTTGTGAGCGAGCCATTTGGCTCCTGCATAAATTAGTTTGCTCTGGAGCCATCCCTTCCTGAGCGAAGGCAAAAATGTGTGAGCCAGAGGCTAAAAAACTGAGCTGGCTCACACTGACTCAGCTTAGAGGGAACACTGGACGTGAGTCCCCCAAATCGTTTCACACGAGGGAAAGAACCGAAGCCCCGACCTGCCTAGGAACTAGGACTGGCACTCTTAGCAGTGGACTATGGCGGCCCCCTCCACTAGGGATGCCAACCTCCAGGCGGGACCTGAGGATTCCCTGAAATTACAGCTCAACTCCAGGTGACAGAGACCAGTTCCGCCCACTGAGATCCCAGTCTGCCCCAGGCTCCACCCCCAAATCTCTAGGAGTTTCCCAACCTGGATATGGCAACCCTAAACCCCCCCCCCATTTCCTGCTGGTGGCCAAGGAAGACCTGGCAAAAAAAAAACCCCACGTGAGTAACTCCCCTGCTGGCTAATTCCTAAAGTAGGGTTGCCAACCTCCAGGTAGGGCCTGGAGACCTTCCAGAATGACAGCAGGTTTCTGGACGACAGAGATCCGTTCCCCTGGAGAAAATGTCAGCTTCAGAGGGTGGACTCTACTGTGCCCTGCGGAGGACCCTCCCCTCCCCCAAACCCAGCCCTTGCTCCCCTCCCCGTCAAATCTCCAGGAATGTCCTAATCTGGAGTTGGCAACCCCAGCTAAAGCCTCCCCACCGAGGCCCCTCCCCCTGGCCTTTGGGCAGGCGAGCTCCCGCTCGGGCCAGGCCCTCCCCCAGCCCCTCTCCGCCCGGAAGGGAGCGGGGATACCTGCAGGCTGCACTCCCGGCCCTGAAGCGCCTTCACCGTCAGCAGCATCTCGGGATCCCGCAGCCCTGCAAGCCGAGCGGCCCCTTTAATTGGACCATAGACACCCGCAGGGAGGGCCAAGGACAGAGCGGCCTAGGGTGGGGGAAGGGAAGGAGCCGGGGCTCTATAGGCGAAGGAGCGCCCCGGCCGCGCCGCTCTCTCGAAAAGGGCAGCACGTCCAGCTGACATAGAGAGCAAAGGGCTAGAGACGCCCGAAGCGGAACCAGCCTCCGGGGGCGGGGCGGGGAAAACTCGCGGAGCCCGGAAGAAGGCCGGAAACTCAGGCTTCTCGTGTCACGTGATGCACGTTACTACGGAGGGGGGGAAGTTAAGAGCTAGAGCGGCTCTTGGGAATATAGAGATAGGGAGAGGTGAGGTTGCGGCTGTGAAGCGACAACGGGGTGGGGAGGGTGGAAGGTCCCAGTGTAAGATTAGGGGAAACTTTCGTCTAGGGGTTAAGGTCTCGTTGGTTTTCGGGCATGATTTCGGGTTCTCAAACACATTGTGTAGAGTCACCCGGGGAGGAGCGGGATGAATAAATGAAACCAAGGTTAGACTCTTGTTTTCACTTTATTTTCTCGATTAATATTTTATTGAAACTTTGTAAATATTACAAAAATAATGCAAAAAATACACAGCAAAATTATACAGCTCATGCAATGGAACTTAACACCAAGATAGTAGTACACAAAAGAACTTGAGATCGCTTTAAAAAAAATCAAATCCGTCCATGGTGGTTGAGATACAGAACATATAGTATCTAGTGCGTAGGTTCTACCACCAACAGAAGTCATCGATTACTATAGGAATTTCCTGTTGAGAGGTCAAATATTCTAATAAGATGGGGAACCAGATAGAACTAAACTTAGTTTTCACTTTATTTAAAAAAGGGGGGGGGAGCTAGACAAATTATGCAGCAGCACCACCCACAGAAACATAGAGCTGGAAGAGGTCCCAAGGGTCATCTAGTCCTACCATGCAGCTTTTAAAACCGCATGACAGGCAGAAATTCAGCAGATGGAGAGCGGAGGGGGAAATGTTCACCGGTTCAGTTTCTACACATGGGAGTTGCAGGTTCCCTTTTGCTGTAAAACCCAAACCAAAAAGGAGTATTGCTCCATGGAGGGGAGTTGGGAATACCCTGTCCCTTTAACAGAGCCTTAATGGAATGCTATTTACCAGGCAATACTATCAACCTCCGGAGCTTCACTGCCCAGTTCCACACAGTAAGTCTCTATAAAAGAGCAGGACATTTCCCTCCAGGCCGGTTGGCAAGCTTGGTCTTGTATCTCTACCAAAGAGTTTTGAAGCCCCTTAGTACATGGGTTGCCAACGTCCATGTGGGACCTGGAGATTCCCTGGAATTGCCTCTGATCTACTAAGATCGGTTCCCCTGGAGAAAATGGCTGCTTTGGAGGGGGGACTCTGTGGCATTCAGGAACTTCCCAGCCAAGAGTTGGCAACTCTACAGGCCGTCCTCGACACCCTTGTCTCAAACCTCCGGGTCTCAGAGTGTGCGGGTATCAAACGCACATCTCGGCCTCTTAAATATGTTTTCTGTCTGGGTACACACTTTCTGCTGTCCCTTCCAGTTCTAATTACAATCTCTATTTCGACCGCTCAAACAAATCATGTAATCTGACTAAGGAGTGCGAGGTGATGTTGCTTCAGTTCTCCAAGGTGGGTAACGTTACTTGGCGGGAGAAGAGGTGAGGGGATCGAGTATCCCAAATGCTTAGTCTCTTTGCAACTCTTCTTTGTAAACAGAGAAAATCAAACTCACCTGCTGCTGGCAGGCAGTTTAAGAGGCAGGGGGCAAACAGTCCTGGGTAGGATGGCTCCAGACCTGAAGTGGAGGACTGGGGATCCCCTCGAATTCCAGCTCATCTCCAGACTACAGAGATCAGTTCCCCTGGAGAAAATGGCTGCTTTGGAGGGGGGACTCTGTGGCCTTGTGCCCCACTGAGGTCCAGGGATGCCAGCCTCCAGGTGGGACCAGGGGATCCCCCGGAATTCCAGCTCATCTCCAGACTACAGAGATCAGTTCCCCTGGAGAAAATGGCTGCTTTGGAGGGGGGACTCTGTGGCCTTGTGCCCCACTGAGGTCCAGGGATGCGCGGTTTAAGAACATAAGAACATAAGAGACGCCAATGTTGGATCAGGCCAAAGGCCCATCCAGTCCAACACTCTGTGTCACACAGTGGCCAGAAATACCAGTGCCATCAGGAGGTCCAGCAGTGGGGCCAGGACATTAGAAGCCCTCCCACTGTTGACCCCCCCAAGCACCAAGAAGACAGAGCATCACTTGCCCCAGAGCCCCTATCTATACCTTGTGGCTAATATCCACTGATGGACCTCTGCTGGAGGAGGTCCCTGTCCTCCTCCAGCCCTACCCCTAAATCTCCAGGAGTTTCCCAATCTGGATCTGGCAACCTTATACCCATATCCCCCACTGGTGGCCAGTGGGGACCAGGCAACCCTAGCCCCTCCCCTCCCCAGGCTCCACCCCCAAATGGGAACCCAGTTCCACATGGATCCTCTGAATATGACCCTAGAACATAAGAACAGAAGAGAAGCCAATGTTGGATCAGGCCAATGGCCCATCTAGTCCAACACTCTGTCACACAGCGGCCAGAAATACCAGGGGCCATCAGGAGGTCCAGCAGTGGGGCCAGAACTCCAAAAGCCCTCCCACTGTTGCCCCCCCAGGCACCAAGAATACGGAGCATCACTTGCCCCAGTCAGAGAGTCCCTATCTATACCTTGGGACTAAAAGCCACTGATGGACCTCTACTCCATATGCTTATCTAATTCCCTCTTGAAGCCGTCCATGCTTGTAGCCGCCACCACCTCCTGTGGCAGTGAATTCCATGTGTGAATCACTCTTTGGGTGAAGACATACTTCCTTTTATCCATTCTAACCCGACCGCTCAGCAATTCCATGGAGTGCCCACGAGTTCTTGTATTGTGAGAAAGGGAGAAAAGGACTTCTTTCTTGACCTGCTCTATCCCATGCATAATCACCCCCTCAGCCATCATTTCTCCAAGCTAAAGAGCCCCAAGCGTTTTAACCTTTCTTCATAGGGAAAGTGTTCCAACCCTTTTATCATTCTAGTTGCCCTTTTCTGCATTTTTTCCAATGCTATAATATCCTTTTTGAGGTGTGGTGACCAGAACTGTACACAGTACTCCAAATGAGGTTTTCAATTCCCTTCCTAATAATCCCCAGCACAGTGTTGGCCTTTTTTTATTGCAGTTGCACACTGTCTCGACATTTTCATTGAGTTATCTACTACGACTCCAAGATCTCTCTCTTGGTCGGTCTCTGCCAGTTCGGATCAAAGAGTGATTAACACATGGAATTCACTGCCACAGGAAGTGGTGGCGGCTACAAGCATGGACGGCTTCAAAAGGGAATTAGATAAGCATATGGAACAGAGGTCCATCAGTGGCTATTATCCACAAGGTATAGATAGGGGCTCTGGGGCAAGTGATGCTCTGTCATCTTGGTGCTTGGGGGCGGGTCAACAGTGGGAGGGCTTCTAATGTCCTGGCCCCACTGGTGGACCTCCTGATGGCACCTGGTATTTCTGGCCACTGTGTGACGCATCACCTTGCACTTGGCCACATTGAACCCCATTTGCCACGTTGACACCCACTCGCCCATCCTCAACATATCCCTTTGGAGTGCCTCACAATCTTCCCTGGTTCTTACTACCCGGAACAATTTCGTGTCATCTGCAAATCTAGCCACTTCATTGCTTACTCCCAACTCCTAATCATCAATAAACAAGATAAAAAGCATCAGACCGAGTACTGGTCCCTGTGGTACCCCACTGCTTACCACCCTCCACTGAGAAAATTGCCCATTTATACTCACTCTTTGTTTCCTATTAATTAGCCAGTTTTTGATCCACAAGAGGATCCTATTCAAGGTTGGCTTAGAACACTACACTGATTGACAAGACCGCCCAGCAACCTTCACAGCTTAGTGCGGTTTTCGAACCCAAATCTCACCAACCTGACTCTGCCTCATGGACTGAAAAACAAAACATAGGCAGGAATGGAACAAGATCAACGGGTATGTTATTCACACGCCTATTAGCCATGTCCCTAAGGACACTTTTTACAGATGTTTGCCAGGAAAGCAAATAAGGCTTCAAAGAAGTCTCTCTGGATCAGATAAAAAGTAGAGACATCACCCTGCCAACAAAAGTCCGCATGGTCAAAGCAATGGTATTCCCAGTAGTCATGTATGGCTGTGAGAGTTGGACTATAAGGAAGGCCGAGCGCCGAAGAATAGATTCTTTTGAACTATGGTGCTGGAGGAGACTCTTGAGAGTCCCTTGGACTGCAAGAAGAACAAATCAGTCAATCCTCAAAGAAATCAACCCTGACTGTTCCCTGGAAGGCCAGATAATGAAACTGAAGTTCAAATACTTTGGCCACCAAATGAGAAGGGAGCACTCACTGGAGAAGACCCTGATGCTGGGAAAGATTGAAGGTCAAAGAAGACGGGGACGGCAAAGGATGAGATGGTTAGACAGTGTCATCGATGCAACCAACATGAAATTGAGCAAACGTCAGAGGATGGCGGAAGACCGGAGGGCCTGGCGGGAGCTGGTCCATGGGGTCGCGAAGAGGCGGACTCGACTGTGCGACTGAACAACAACAACAACAAGCTTTTGTGTGCAGGCAATCTCAAAAACTGTGCAAGCACACGAAAGCTTGTATCCAGAATTAAACTTTGTCGGTTTTAGGAGACCCCCCGTAGTGTTTAAGCCGCAGACGGTGCATCCCTTCCTCCAGAGAGGAAAAACTGAGGCGGCTTTGGTGAGTCTCCTTGTATTCTGCCCTTTAAGTAGATTGTAATGTTTACATCACAGGAATCGTCTTCCAGTGCTGTAACTAAAACACATCTCTCTCGAGTTACTCAGGTGGAAGGTGTCTCTGCATCTGTAAAAGGGAGGCAATTACTCGGTGTGATCTTATCGCATGGAAATTTCTCCTTCTCCAGCACCGCCGCCAAGGTGTGGGTGCACAGGTGTGCTGGGGAAGGTTACGTTGCACCTGCCTCGTCAACTTAGATTCACCTCGCTGGCAAATGAGTTCGCCTCCTCCCGGCCTGACTGAGGGGTATCCCGGAGGGAGATGAAGGATAATTGCAGCGTGCTATTTGTAGAGACT